TATGAAACCATCGTTTTCTAAAAGACATTTTAAATCTAAACATGCCAGTTTAAAGGATAAATCAAAAGACTATTTTAAAAGGAAATCATCGGAGTTAAAAAATAGTAAACAAGTGATGAAAGGTTTTGTTACTTCAAGTGAAAGAACTTTGGAAGCTAGGTACCTAGTAAGCCTAAGAATTGCCAAGACTGGACAGGCTCACACTATTGGAGAAAACCTTATATTACTAGCAATTAAAGATATCTTTTTGACATTATTCACCGAAAAAGCGGTTAATGAACTTAATACTATTCCGTTAGTAAATGATACAATAAGTCGACGAATTCATGAAGTGGAAAATTCCATAAAAGAGACACTTATTCAAAAAATAAAACACAGTGAGTATTTCATATTGCAATTGGATGAACGTACTGATATAACGAAATTTGTGCAATTATTAGTTTATATACATTTTGAAGAAGATAAACGAATTGCCGAAGAGTATTTATTTTGTGAATCTCTTCCTGACAGAGCAACTGAATGAAATTTTCAAAGCAACTGACAATTTTATGTCTGAGAACGATATTCCTTGGAATAAGTGCATTGCTGTATGCAGTGACGGATCCCGAGCTTTAGGAAAACATTTCGGTGTTATTTCTCAAATAAAGAAAGTCGGCCCTAAAACTAAATTTACTCACTACTCCATCAATCGTGAAGTTTTAGTAGCCAAAACAATCCCCGAAAACCTGAAAATCGTTTTGAATCAAGTTGTGAAACTTGTTAATTTAATTAATAGCCGAACTTTAAATTCAAGAATATTTACGACTTTTTGCCAAGAAATGTGCAGTGAACATGAAAGCTCTGTTATATTCCGAAGTAAGCTGGTTATCCAGAGGCAACCACCTTTTTGAACTTCGATCAGAAATTCAAATTTTCCTCTGTAATTCAAAATTTGAATTGGAAAATAGCTTATTTATGGTTGGCGCATTTAGCATATTAGATGATGTTTTTGGAAAGTTTATGAATTAAATTTAGGATTACAAGGACAAAGTGTTAATTTGTTCACCATTAGAGATAAAGTAAATGCAATGACAAAAAACTCGAGCTAATAATCAAAGAATTGGATTATAATATTGTTAGGAAATACCCAGCTGCGATAAGACAGCTTCCCCGCAAAGCGGGTTTAGGGTTGCCAAATATGGCGCGAAATAGCCCATTTGGTGGCAAAATCGGCGATATACATAGAACATTCTAGAACGAATTCTTACTGTTTTACCCCAGAATGTTCTCGAAGTTAAGTCAAAAGCTATATAAACTTTGTTTGTACGTGAAGTACCAGTGCATCAAGTGTATCGTCAGTTTATCGTAAAGAGTATCGTGAGTTTTATCGTAAAGATTATCTTAAGTATGTTGAGCTCCAAGAGCGATCGACCGAGTCGGAAGCTGTACTACCGTTACAGCCTGATAGACTGAAGGCAGTGTTGCAGATTGTTTCAGAGTGTTTGTCATAGTTTTTTGTAAACGTGTTTTCGTGACTGTGTTGAGTAATACTGGCTAATAAATTGTGTTTTGATTCTTCATCAACTGTTGTTGTCATCAATCACTCCAAATCCACGAACCCTTGGAACGCAGCAATATTTTAAGCTTTTTACCACTTTTAGAAAATTTTATAACCGAAAATAATTTGAAAATAACAGAGAAATTAGCAACCGAAATTAAAAATCATTGTTTTTCATTCATAAATAATTTCGAAATGTATTTCCGGAGGATTATGAAAAAGACAAGTGGATTAAAAATCCGTTTTATTCAAGTGCACCTGAAATTTTATCTCGTGAAGAAAAAGAACAATTGATAGAAATTTCCTGTGATTAAAATCTAATGGAAGATTTCAAAAATAACAAACACACTCGTTAAATTTTGGCTGAACCGGGAGGAAAAAAAAATGTAGGCATTTAAAATAAAGCTATTAAATTTTTATTGCCTTTCGGCACAACCTATTTGTGGGAACAAGGATTTTCTTTCATGTTATCTTTGAAAAATAAACAGTAAACAGAACGTAATTAACAGTGGATCCTAATTTACAGCTAAAACTAAGTGAAATAAGACCAGACATAAAGAAACTTATCTCTCTTAAACAGTCCCAAATTTCGTACTAAATTTAGAATGAAAGTATTGTAACTTAAACTTTGATAATTAAAATGGTAACCAGCATACTTAATACAAATAGCCAATAGGTTGTGCAAATGGAAAAAAAAATGTTTTAATATTTCTATTCAGAAATTAAAAATAATCCATTGTAAAATGTAGTGGTGGTACTAAAGGTTTTCAAATTTTTGTTAGATGGTACAGTTTAATCAAAAGGTTGAGAACAGCTTCTCTAGATCGTCAAAATATTTTCTTTATAGCACAAATGAAGACCCATACATCATATTATCATTAAGAGTAAACTTCACATTATTTACAAATATTCGGTTGCGGGGCCAGCCGCATATGATTGCCATTGAAAAAAGAAAACTATATTTATGTAATAATTTTAATGAGTCCAGCTAGAAGCTTATCCAAGATGTATAGTTAGTAAATAAAAATGATAGGTGAGGAATAGCGTTTATTGCTTTTAAATCACTCAGTTTGTTAATCAACAACAGAGAGATTAAATTTGAAAGAAAACTCAACTTATATACTTTCCGGAACGGCAACACACCGGAGCACAGAAGATATTTCGAGCGGTGACAACATGTCTTTTAAATCATTGAGTTTACTGAATTTGAAGAATAATATTTGCCGAGTGCCCGTTCCTTTAAATTCCCTAGTTCTTTGATTAAAATTGAAATATAATTATCTTTACGCTTTGCAGAAAGGTTGCTTTTAAATCGCGAAGTTTGCTAGTCAAAACCGCACAAAGCATGGAATAAATTTTTAAAAAGTTTGAAATTTAAAATTCGGCTTCCAGATGCACATGCTCTGATGGAGGACTACGTGTGTTAAAAATTTTGAGGCTCTCACTACTGCCGCCGTTTTTCAGCAATGCGTTCCACAATAAACATACATACATTATTCATTATTTAATAATACAGAAAACTTATTAATTGTTTCCTGGGCGAGTCTTTTGCATATATTTTCTAATAAACTAAAAAAATTAAAGCATGCTTCCATTGTTCCGGCAGAAAATGAATAAAAAACTATTTCCTATGTTCAGCAATAATTTTTTTATAGAAATTAGTCTTATAAAACGCACGGGGTTCTCAAATAATGCAAAAACATAAACATTTGCTTTTAGTTTTGCTGTTTTCACCCTTTAAGAAAAAGTTTTTTTTTCTTTTCTTCGCCCCATGAGGAAAGAATAAATAAATAAATATAAATAATGAATAATTAAATAAAAAATTTTCTTTTCATTTTATAATTATTCAATTTAACCAAAATATAATAATTTGATTGTCGTGGAAATGGCGCTTCTGGCAGCAAATTATGCAAGCGAATTACAAACAGTAAATCTGGGCAACAGTTAGATTTATTAAAGCTCAGTGTCGTTTTATAAACATGTGATCAAAAATTTTTGCTATTACCGAAATCATCTGAATATGATTCTGGAAAAGCTAAAAGTTATGTTCTAGAAACTGTGAAAGCTGGAATGCTATTCACAGGCGGAAAGCTGCCTTCGCAAAAAGGAATCTACTTTTGGTAAGCTGAAAACAAACCATGAGAACTGCCGATTTAACTGTACGGCATAATTTTTTTATTGCTCCAAAAGACTTGAACTTTAAATATATTATGTTAACTATGATTCACAATTTGAAATCCGTAGATCTCAAACTGTTAAAAAAAGTTTATGGTAGGGGAAAACAAAATTCGGAATTATTTGATTCCAAATGAAATAGATGTTCCACAGGAAACTTGATGTTTAACGTAAACAAAAATATTCTGAACGCTTTCGCTGTTACATGCAATGAACTACACTGCTTTAAAATGTGGCCGGCAGCAAAGCAGATCAAAGACGCTATTTAAAAAGAAATATTTTTGTTGCGCGTATTCTTAAAATATTATTAAGTAAAAACAAAAAAATTAATAGTTTGTGATATATATCAAAATTATAAATGAATTAATTCAGTTTCGATTTAATTTTTCGCCTGTATAGCGATAGTTTTCTGTAGTTCTTTGACGACAGCTAAATAGAGATTTAATCTTAAATTTCTTATATTATAACTCATTTGATTCGCTGGCTTAGATATTCTTTTGGATGAATAACAGCCACAGGAATTAAAAATGTCCCACTTTTTCTAAAGACTGAAATAGACTTCAAAAATAAAGTACTGATTACAGGAAATTACTATGTGAGACAGGTGACTGACTGCATTGCGTCAGGGATGTCTGGGCAGTCATTTCCGCATATACAGCGGGTGTTAATGCTTGGATTTCTCAAAAACAAAGATTGAAAGGGTAATTGGCTCTCAAATCGTTCTTAATCCGGGTTGCAGGTGAGGTTAGGTTGCGATGGAACTGAAAAAGGAATTGGCTTTATAGTTGTTTTTAAATGAACTCAAGTTCTCATTACGTTTTTGACGCAATGTTCTCAAAGAGTAAAGCTAATTAAATGTCAAGGAGCATGCGCAAGAGAAGCAGGAAACTGTGGTTGCCAAAAATTGATTGCGTAATTTTGCAGTAATTGAAAGAAAATGACTTTTAGATAAATTTGAAATAGCATTCAAATTCATTGATAATGAAATGGCATTCAAATTTGAAATAGCATTCAAATTGATATTTAATTACTTTCTACCCATTTTATTTGAAAAAAACTTTCTTGAAAACAGGAAATAAAAATAAAGACATTATGCTTTAATACTGCGAATTTTCATTAGCTTGTAATAAAGCATTTAATAATTATGTTTACTTAATTATTTATTTATTATCTGCAGTATTTTATATGAACTCAAAAGATACAGTTTTTTTTTTTTTTTTTTTTTTTTTTTTTTTTTTTTTTAAATCTAAAGGAGCACTTTGCCCTGAAGGACTATTAATTTCGTTTTGGCATTTTGAATTCGTTAACTTTTTAAATTGTTGCCACCAAATATTATCTCCCTGTGTTATATTCAAAGAAATTAAATAATGAAGAATCTCCATAAATGTATGTATGTTTCTCGCAATGAGATAAAAGTACCAATTGAGATAAAGTTTTAGACTTCTTTACATTCACTGTAAAATACGATTATCGAAATTTTCGAAGGATGAAAAATTTGATGAAAATGCTATAGACCCAACAAAAAAAAAAAAAAAAAAAAAAAAAAAAAAAAAGCTTAAATCAGGTCTGGGCACACGTTGTTTTGCCTAAAAGGCCAAATTATGGATTTAAAACAAAAAATTACGTTGGGACACAAATAAAATAATATTTTCAGGTATAAATTGTTACTACTTGTAAAAGTGAATTCTAACATAAAAATAAATTTTTAACAATCAGTTATTTAATTAAACGAATAGTGCTGTTTTATATCTTTCGTTATTTTTTAAAATTTGAACTGTAAATTTTGTAGTTGAGTTTGTAAAAAAGTCAAAAGTTTATTTTCCAAGAAGTAGAATGAATTTATGAGTGTGGATAAATTTTTCGTTTCTAAAAGAACTGGATGTGATCACCACGCTCGTTGCTGTCCAACGTTAGTGACTTCCTACGGAAAAATACGTTTTGGAAACGTATTTTCTTCATACGTTTCGGAAAAATGTAAACAACTAAGTCACTTGTACAAAACTTGATTTTTTCCAGTTCAAATTTTACAATATTTTCAGCTGACAGATCAACAACTTTGGATTTGGAGGTATTTCTTTTTTTCCGTCATATTCTGCTTAACAGCTAGAATAATATCAGCAAGGGTTGTCAGACAGTGTTGGGCCTTTCTCTCTTTGTTTTCATGCCTGCACATGTCCGTAAAATTTCCTTCCATGCTATAATATTCTTTCGAGCGCTTTCTTCATTGGAGTCTTTGACCATCGTTTGTGAAGCTTTAACCATTTTCTTTGTTCCTTTCTTTATTTCTTCATTAACCTGCTGGGGAAAATAATAAACTTTGTTGATTTCATCCACTAAAATAGTATATTATACTACATATTCATCAGGAGATCGCCTGGACTTTTTTATTTAATTAATTAAGATTTTTAGTGAAACTGTAATCCCAACTACCACCCCAAATAAGACGAGGTCTAGTATTTTATTTTATTAAACTATTTACCATTAATTTTATAATTTATTAAATTTTCATTCATAATCTATGCTTTATTAAATTTTAATTATTTAATTATTAATGATTTTATTATTTATTTTTGTTAATCTTTCCTGATGGCCTTCCTTGAGGCTCCGATACTTTGAATTTTAGAAAGTAAGCCCTGACAGGAGGTTCTGACTATTGCTATTTTCAAAGATTTTCTTGAAGATGCAGGTGTTAGGCTAATCCATATTTCTTAAATCGGAAATTTATTTAACTGGAAATGGGGGGAAATTTCATGTTAAAAAAAATGCTAACATCCTAGTAGGATAAGGAAGGGAAACAGAGTGGCTCATCCGCTTAATGAAAATGCTATACACGAAAAGATTAAGTTTTTTTGGGGGGAGGGGGCAGGAAAAGGAATGACATGTTCTGACTTAAGTGATTAAATGTTCATTATTTTCCTCTATCATTTTGATTAAGTAAGATATTATTGAACTCAAAGATTAACGTTTCCAGAAACACTACAAATATAGTCATAAATAAATTGCTTCCTATTATAAATATCTTTTTTACAAAGTCTTGTCAACCTTCTCTAAATTAATAATTTAATTTTGAGTATCGCAAATTCGGTTTCTTAAAGTCTGTTACCTTGTCTGTATCCTCTTCAGCACTGCTATTTGAGGACAATTTCAGAAAAGCTTTTTCAAATCTGCAATTCAAAACAAAAATGAAGGTTATAGTCCGAGGTATGTTAGGTCAAAAAATGCATAATGAGATAATTCCACGTAATAATGGTAAAACCTGTTATTCTTAAGAAACATAGAAAAACTTGACTTATCTGCATAATCCGACATTCATTTTTGAAAAGGTATAATTTGTGCGGCCCAAGTCGGAAGTTGACTCTATCATCAGAGAAAATTCTTGTAAAACAAGAGGCCATCATAAATTTGTGAAGGCCATCCCCATTCTCATTCGATTTAATTTTTCTTCTCTCCTCTGGACCTATTTAAATATGTAAGAACATAAATGAGGAAATAGTTAAGGTAAACTTTTAGAAATTCTTCATAAGTAGGTCTTTGGGCGAAGAAAGTCGAAGAATTTGTTACCATGAGTGTGTTGTTAGACGGAATAGTTCTAAAAGAGGAGATTTGTGGCGTTTGGCCTCATAAATAATTTTACTTTTTACAAGTTTTTAAGATGTCATGGGAAGATTAGCTTAAGAAAGAAAACCAACCTTTCCTTTAACCTTTCCTTCACGATGAATATCCACGTAGTCATTAAATAAAACCATTCTCTTGATGTATAGACACAAACTAGCGTATATGTGTTGAAGAAAATTCATTGAAAACATTGTTGCTCTAAATCGCAAAATAAATTCGTTCGTCAGGAATGGTTGCCTGAGGTGCAACACATGGAGCGACCGAATCATACCCGAGGAAAAGGGAATGTTCCCTCCCAACTTTGATGGAGAGCACACAAGTGGACAAATGCGAACTCTTCCACCTATCCACCCCAGACCTCTCACAGAACTTTCGACTCGCCAGTATTTTAAACGTTCCCATGTCGCACAGATACTATACACGTACAAACATCCAAGCTTTCTCCAGGATTCGAACGCGGTCTTAACAATACGCTGTCAACATAGCTGACAGCTATACTGTTAAGGGCACCACTTATGAAAGCTTATGTCCGCTGGTGAAGCTGTGAAATTTCTATGAAAATTAAGAAACGAAGATTAAAAGGCATTTCTTGAAAATTGAATTCGGGAATTAAGAACTTTGCGCGCGACCTTGTAGGAGAAAAGGCACGCATTCTAATAAAAACACCCACTTAAAAGGAGTTCATTCCTTTTAGGCCTGACACAGTCCAAGAGGCGAAACTAGAAACTGTCAATTCATGACAAAGGGTATAAAAGAAACGTACTCATTTCAATCAAACAGGCAATTGTTAATTTTATAACAATTTACTTCTTGGATGAGGAAAGGAGGACGAATTTTTTTTAAACAGAAATTCTCAGAGACGGGCGTTTCAGCTGGTTGGGCAGAAAAGTAAGAATAGACTGACTGACCCCCGCAGAAGCGATCCTCATATAAATCAAATTAATTAAGGAAACAAAATTTAGTACTTTAAAAAATCACTTTGTCACTGATTTATCTTCAGTTTTTCTCCTATTAATCATACTGAATATTAATTAAAAAGTAAAATGAGATAAAATAAACACAGGTCAGTCAAAGTAACAGCTAATCATTAGGTTAACGTAACAGCTAATTTCGAAGTCATTAGTTAAAGGTAATAACTGATCTCAAAATACCAACAACCGTATAAGCAAAATGGCGATACGATTCTAAGCCCAACTGCCAGTTAAAAGGCAAATTTTGCGCTCGAAAAATCGGATCTTCCTCAGTGTTGTCAGTTCAGTTAATAGTATGCTACATACTATATTCATTACAGAGTGGCTTTAAATAAATAAGAAGAAATTTTAAAAAATTGTGATCTAGGAACTTCAGATTACAGTCGAACACCTCGAAGAAAAATTTACCATTGAAAATTTTAAAGAATACACTTTATTATTACATTAAAATTAATGAAATTTAATAAATACTAAATTAAAAATTGAAATTTTATTTTCATGCGTTTAAACTACTTTTATGCGTCTAATACCTGAAACGGTTTTAAGCTAACTATCCACCGTAGGTCACAAATCTGTTACTTTAAATTATAAACTTTATGAAGCATTTTCTCTCTCCTTTCCGAGTGTCTTCGGGTGTAATTGGATAGCACGTCCGCACAGCAATAGGGAGGTCTCGTGCTGAAATCCCGGCGAGGATTTTGCGCATTTTTCCTGTCTCCTATATCGATAAACCTCTACAACTCTACAAGTGCAAGTTCCACCTACTTGCCTCGACCATAGATAAAACAGTTGTGGCAACGGTTCGAGACGCCTAATTTTTTAATTCCACTCAATTCCCATTTAGCATATTCCAATTAGCTTCCTGTTTCATGAAAAAAAACATGAAAGAAGGCTACTTTAAAAACTGTAGTCTTAAATGAAGTGGAGAAAATAAGTGCTAATAAATGTAGTCTTAAATGAAGTGGATAAATTTTTTTCATTGGATCGCTGCGCACGATGTTTACAACCATTATGTTCCTGAAAAGTAAATTTCCAGCATTTTCATTTTGGCAAAACATTAAATTCGCATACTGAAAAAGTTTTTATAGATACATCAAAAAATATTACGTTCTGCAAGATGTTTAAAAAAAGTTGAGAAAGTATTTTACCACGTGTTCTTGAGCTTCGTTAGAAGAAAGAAAAACTGACGACTTTAATTGCAGCATCTGTTCTGTCTAGTAATTTATATTCAGTGCTTCAGTCTTCAGTAACTGCATATACTTCCAATTCGTATCCTTAACACTGTTTACATGTTTTCACTCGTATCAAAGAAATTCGATACTGTTTGCCTTAAATTCGTCCATGAAGGCATCCCGGTCCTTAGGCAGGTAACTTTTGCCATAAATAATTAACGAATCAACTAACCCATACAACCATTTTGTTTTCCAATTTCAATATGACATTAAATTAAGTATGCTAATTTATTATAAAATAAGCTCTGCATTTAATTAGTCTGCCTAACAGTACAAGTTTACATACTAAACCTAGTTATCTTATTATTTTCGCTTTACTTTCACTTCTATTTTCGTCAACTTCTACCAGAGTGTTAATGTAGTTAAAGGAGAAGATAGCACAGAATTCTTAAGTTTATATAGAGAACATTTAGCAGGACAATCTGATCGTCACTCTGCTTCGCTTCCTTGCTTGTTGAATTAAACTAATCGACTTAAGCTTCGACTGCTTTTGCTTCGCGAATACTTAAGGCCAGGTCATGTCAAATCAGCACCAAGAGTGTATGGGGGGGGGCACTGAAATAGCGTCACAGATAAAACTGGTAATACTCAGGTACGCTAGCAATCTGAACACTTAAGGCCGTGCTAAGATTTGACAGAAAATATCGAATTTGCATTTCGGATTCAATTTAAATTCAAATGCGTGTTCTGAACTGACGGGTAGCAGCGGAGTTTTGTTGCTATTATACTTTTCAGTTTGCGTTACCGTCAGATTGACATGTTAATAAATAGCTTTTACTTTAAGCATTCACTTTATAAGGTATTTTCTTCCTCCTTTCAGCATGCCTTCGTGGTGTAACGGTAGCACACGCGGCACGTATTCGAGAGCTCTAGGTTCGAGTCTCGGCGAGGGCACTGCTCATCTTTCACATCTCTTGCTTCAAGAACCTAATGTCTCGACAACTTTGAGTTGGGATTTAGTTAGGATGTAATCGGCATAAGTCTTTTGACTGTCTTTATGTTCTAACAGATTTGGCACTTTAATGTACTGTGTTTAACTGTATTCCGAATGAAAGATAAGGTATACTGAGCTAAATTATAATATCCCGAGTTTATGTAGTGGTCTGCGCTCTTATCTACAAACTCTTTTAAGTTTAAAAGTAAATTTGACAAAGTTTGGACTACACGGAATCTCAAGGCCTGAAAGTGCCCGTACACGGAGTCCTCAGAGTGCCTGTGCATTAAAAGAGTTAGATTAAAAGAGTTAGAGTTAGATTAAGAGCAGTAGAGTTTTGGAATTTTAAAGTGTAGGTTAGTAGTATTAGACGCATTTTCGATTTACAGTGGGCCATACTGAAAGCCGGGGAGTTTCTGTTTGCTATCATTCTTCAGTTTTAACATAAGTAAATTAATTGTCATTTGTTTATTACTAAATTATTTCTTGTTTGTTTTTAAGTGATGTCAAAGAGCTCGAAGGCTCCCTTCCTAAAGGAACAGAAGTCTTCATGAAGGACTTTTTAAAGCAACACTTACGCGTTACATGTACAGAAAAGCACGAAATTTTTTTTACACATGAAAAACCTCGAAAATACTCACGCTATATGAAAAGGAAAATATTTTACATGACCGTAAGTAATGAAGCAGTAATATATAAATTTGTCGCACTGAACGAGATACAGCTTAAGAAACAGAAAAAATTGTTCTAAATTTCTATTCAAAGAAATCTCTTCAGAAAATTTTAAAGCATTACTACAGATGTTTTTCTTTCGTTTGTCTCTTCTATCCTGCCTAAAAATCCCAACTCTGGTTGAATATTATGTTTTAAATGCTGCAACTTAAAAATATTACTTTTTTTAAACGGTAATCTTAGTTTTATTTTTAGTAAACTGCGACGTAGATTTATAAACATCACTTTGCAAGTAGATGATGTAATCTCTCTCAAATTTCTGAAAAACTACTGTTTTGACCAATCAGATTGATCATTAAAGCGTTGTATACTACGTTTCTTGATGACGTTTCTTCAATCCAAATCAGTTATGGCTTTTACTCAATTAATATATTTAATTTGGTTATTATTAATTGCGCTTTTTAATCATCAAAATACACAATTTTGGCCCATTCCCTGCACTTACCTACAAAATTAAAACATTCCTCTAATTAAGGATAATACATCCTGTTATTTTTCAATAAAAAATTCCCTCTGCTTCCTTTGAGAACTGAGAGAAAATTGATGAAGTTTTCCAAGCCCTCAAAGTACGAAAGCGTACTTATCGGGAGGGAGTTTTAATATAAGTTACTGACCCCCCCTTCAAAAAAATAATAATCTTCAATTTCCTTTCTTTTGGCAGACGGGCCTATAGAGGATAGTCGTTTTTGACCCGCAGGCCAAGCGAATAAAACCGCAGCAGGGCGACTTGCTGTCGAGAGCTTGAGAGCATTTTGCAGGCCATGTCAGCCGTAACAGGTCCGTCCAGCTTTCTTCTAATAGCAGCAGTGATAACGCAAGGGTCACCTCTATCCAAATATATAGTTGCCGATTGTGTGGGGCACAACCTCCGAAGCATTCATCGCGGCATCGCCTTTTTTTTTTTTTTTTTTCCTATCGTAGCCGTGCTGGGTTGTTTAGGCGAGCTCGTGCACTCGTGGAAGAGATTTTGGTT